ATGCTGCTGCTCTTCAACGTGCTCGAGGCGATAAACGGTAAAAAACAAATAATCTAAAGTAAAATGTAATTCTTTTTTTTCTTGTTTTTATTTTAGAAATCGTTCGAAAGAACGTGATATTAGTAAACAAATTGTATTAGATGTACAAACTGCAAGTAGTACAAGTGTTCAATATGCTCAACGTCTATTTAATATATCGGCAGTAAAATATTTGTTTTTCATTTTCTTTCAATATATTAAACTGCTTTTTTCTTCTATTTGTAGGGTTTTGATTGTAGTTTGAGTAATGATGAAGCTTATAATGTATATGATCAACCTTGGAATTCCTTAACTACTATTGCTTCTCAAATTTATAAACCAACAAAAAACAACAAAAGATAATTTTGATGATACTGAAGCCTTAATTAATGCTTCCAAATGATTCGTTCTTTTTTTTCTTTAATTGTTGAAAGAATTTTAATCTTTTTTTTTTTAAATTTTAGTTTTGAACAAGAATATGATTTTAAAGAAGCTGATCGAGCAGAACTACGTGAGAGGCCTGTGCAATTTCAATGTGACGAAGATCCATTTGGTTTAAGTGATTTCTTAAAAGATGTACGACATGGTAGTGCTGGTAGTTCAGCTCTATCAGCTAGTCGATCTTCTAGTTCATCGTTTAAACGTAGTAATGCAGATGATCAACAAGAGCAAACTAGTGAAAAACGTCGCAAGAAATAAAATAACTTTACTCAGTTTGTTTTTTCTTTTTTTATATTGTGTGTCATTATTTCCTGATGTTTTGTTGTTGTTCTTTATCTCTCTATTACTCTTCAAATTGATTACTATAGTGAACAGAAGAAAAATATTCCTCGTATGATTTATATCATTATTATTAGCAGTTTTTGTCTTTGTCCCGTTTGTCTATACAACTTTTTTTGATAGAAATAAAAGTAAAACTTGTATATATGTTTATGATCATCTGATATAGTTTCGTTTTTATTTGATAAGTTGGAGAATCTGATACATATTCAATTTAAGTATTGAAACAATATCTTAGAATGGTTGACCATCTAAGTTATGTCAAATGGAGTCAGTTTAAATGAGACGTATTTCATGTCAATAGCATATCACCTTGTCCAGAAAGTCCGTGCAACTCATATACTATGAAACCTTAGGATAACAAGTACTGCATTTA